TACAGAGTGATCCAGGTCAGTCTCAACGACATAGCGAGACCCTGTCTCAAAAGAACAAACAAAAAACCCCCTAAAATCTATCCTGCCGGCCGAGCCCCACGAGGACCAGGGTCCTCTTCCCTCTCAGGGGGCTCCAGGGCCCACAGGTGGTCTCTCCCATCACAGATGACCGCTTGGATGGTGCTGCTGGCCCTGCGGGCCTCGCTGCTGCTCCCCCTGGCCGGCTGCACAGCCCCCAAGGCCACCCTGCGCTTCGTGGCTGTGGGTGACTGGGGCGGGGTCCCCAACGCTCCATTCCACACGGCCCGGGAAGCGGCCAACGCAAAGGAAATCACCAGAGCCGTGCAGACGATGGGAGCCGACTTCATCCTGTCCCTGGGGGACAACTTCTACTACACCGGAGTTCGCGATGTCAATGACAAGAGGTTCCAGGTGTGTGCTGGGCTGGCCAGCGGCCCCAGTCTGGCGGCCTTCCTGTAAACAGAACGCCTGCAGGGGATCGGAGCACTTGATGGCTCCTGTGCTCCTGGCCCCTGGTTGGTGGGAACCTGAGAGCAGCCAGTGATGCCCAGGTGGGCATCTTACTGTCCGCTATAGGAGACCTTTGAAGATGTGTTCTCCGACCGCTCCCTGCGCAGCGTACCCTGGTATGTGCTGGCCGGGAACCACGACCACCTTGGGAACGTCTCGGCACAGATTGCCTACTCCAAGATCTCCAAGCGATGGTGAGCATCCCCCCGGCACAGTGAGCTGGGCAAGGCGGCATGGTGAGCTTAGGTGTGCACAACTGTTATTCCAGCATTTGGGAGGCTGAGGCAGGAGGATCTCCAGGAGCTGAAGCCCAGCTGGGGCTAAATAGCGAGTTCAGTAGTGGACTACACAGTGAGACCCTGTCTTGAAAAAAGTCCGGGCACGGTGGTGGTGCATTTCCGTAACCCCAGCACCCTGAGGGGAGGCAGAGGCAGGAAGATTACAGATTTAAGCCCAGCCTGGTAAACTTTGCAACCTAAGAAGTCCCTGTCTCAAAATAAAATATAAAAAGGGGACTGTGGTAAAGCTCATTGCAAAGGCCCTGAGTTCAATCTCAGTTAAAAAATAAATATGTAGGGCCGGGGATTTAGCGCAGTGGTTCCACTGCCTGCCTTGCAAGCGCAAGGATCTGAGTTCGATCCCTGGCCTCAAAAAAAAGCTGGGCGTGGTTGCCTACACCTGTCATCCCAGCACTCGGGAGGCTGAGGCAGGAGGATTGCTTTGAGTTCAAGGCCTGCCTGAACTACATGGCAAGAGCCTGGCTCAATAAAACAAAACAAACTTAAACAAAACCAACCACCCAACCAACACACCAAAGAAAAATACATCAAGTTTTTCAAAAAGGTCCTTTGGCTTGAGCCAGCCCTGGCCTGATGTTTCTCTGCCTCGGCAGGAACTTCCCCAGCCCCTTCTACCGCCTGCACTTTAAGATCCCGCAGAACAATGTGACTGTGGCCATCTTCATGCTGGACACGGTGACGCTGTGTGGCAACTCAGATGACTTCCTGAGCCAGCAGCCCGAGAGGCCCCGAGACCCGGCAGTGGCCCGCACCCAGCTGTCCTGGCTCAAGAAGCACCTGGCGGCGGCCAAGGAGGACTACGTGCTGGTGGCCGGCCACTACCCCGTGTGGTCCATCGCCGAGCACGGGCCCACCCGCTGCCTGGTCAAGCACCTGCGCCCCCTGCTGACCACCTACGGGGTCACGGCCTACCTGTGTGGCCACGACCACAACCTGCAGGTGAGGGCCTTGAGGGTGAAGGGGGCAGGTGCACTACACACCTGTGATCCCAGCACTTACTCAGGAGGCTGAGGCAGGAGGATCGCATGAGTTCCAGGTCAGCCTGGGCTACATAGTGAGTTCAAAGGCAGTCTGAGCTATCTAGCGAGTCCCTGTCTCAAAAAATAAATAAAATACAAGGTGACTGGAGTCAGGGACAGGTATGGCCTGGGTGGGAAAACCCCCGGTCAGCCTGCTGTCAGGGCTGGGGCTGCCCTGACCCTGTGTCCTTTTGTCCCAGTACCTTCAAGATGAGGATGGCATTGGCTTTGTACTAAGTGGGGCTGGGAACTTCATGGACCCTTCTGTGAAGCACCAGCGCAAGGTCCCCAACGGTTACCTGCGGTTCCACTACGGCTCCGAGGACTCGCTGGGCGGCTTTGCCTACGTGGAGATCGGCGCCAAAGAAATGACCGTCACCTACATCGAAGCCTCGGGCAAGTCCCTCTTCAAGACCAGCCTGCCTCGGCGGCCCAGGCCCTGAGCTCCCGGGAGGCCCGCTGCGCCCACGGGGGCCTGAAGCGGGGGACCCTGCAGGTGGCACAGGGACCAGGGCCCCAGTAAAGAAGCCACAGCGCCATGTGGCAAAAACAGGCACTGGTGCCCGCGTAGGTGAGGCAGCGCGGATGTGAGTCCTGGCCTGCGGCCTGCGTGTCACACACTCGGGGTGGGAGGTAATCCGGTGTCCTCTGTCACTGTCATTCAATAAAGGAAGTGTTGCCAAGGCTGCATTCGTATCTGGGACATGTTGTGTCCACGGGGTGACAGTGTCAGGGCTCCCCACCTCCTCCTCTGGTCAGCCTCATCGATAAACAGCTGGGCACCCACGTGGATAAGAGTTTAACTCACACCCAAGAGCTGGGCGTGGTGGTACTTGCCTGGGAGGCCAGCACTCAGGAGGCTGAGGCAGGAGGATCACTATGAGTTCAAGCCCAGCCTGGGCTACATAGTGAGTCCCTGTCTCAAAACAAAAACAAAAACAAAAAACAAACCAACAAAAACCCATCATGGTGGTTACCTGTTATCCCAGCACTCTGGGAGGCTTAGGCAGGAGGATTCCAAGTTAGAGCCCAGCCTGGGCAACTTAGTGATGTAGCAAAACCCGGTCTCAAAATAAAAAGGGGGAACAAAAGTGGACTGGAGACATAACTCAGTGCAAAGGCCCTGGCTTCAACCCCCACCACGAAAAACCAAAACCAAAACTAAATGAAACAAAAACAAGCAGAGGGCCGGGGATGTAGCTCAGCGGAGCTCTGCCTGCCTGGAAAGTGCAAGGTCCTGAGTTGGATTCCCTGTACCACCAAACAAGCAGAAAGCAGGGTAGAACACAAATCTCCCAGGCTCCCACCCCGTTCCGCAGCCCTGCCTTCTGTTTCTGTTCCTTCTACGCTTGCTCTGGCAGCACGTATATAATTTCCTTTCCTTCTGAAGTTGTTGCTCCCATAACAACCACCCCTCCACTTCCCCTGCGTGGAAGATTGAACACAGAAAGCCCTGGGCTACACCCCTAGCCCTTTTAATTGTTTTGCTTTGAGACTGTTTTCCTTCTTTGTTGTTTTGAGCCCAGGCTGGCCTCGAACTCACAGCGACCCTCCTGCCTCAGCCTCCCGAATGCTGGGATCACAGGCGTGGGCCACCATGCCAGGCTGTGGTTTGAATGAGTCGACAGAGGGCACAAACCTGCAGCACCGTCAGACCTTCAGCCCCCAGGTTCCCTTTGTACCTCAGGGATTCTTCTTTTTGTGTCTGGAGCTCTGCCCCGTCCACCCTTGGGACAGCTGCCATCTTGCTGTGGCTTCAGAGACCCCAACTTGTACAGAACCACGAGCCAGCACTCCCTGAGGGCCACTGGGTGCTTCCAGTCTTTTCTCAGTCTTCCACCAGCGTTGGGTTTGAGGACCTCACTCGCTCGGGCCCTGTGCTGTGCACACGTTTCTGGGTAATCAGGGTTTGCTGTCAGGAACAAGTTTCTCTTTTTCCCTCTTAGCTTTCTTTCTTTTTGGTGGTGTTGGGGATGGAACCTGGGGCCTTGCGTACACAGCCACCCACCCTACCGGGGAGCTACACACACAGCCCCAGCATCTCTCCGACGGGGGAAAGAAAGCAGGAAGACGGCAGCCATGGTGCGCGTCTGTCATCTCAGCACTCTGGGAGGCTGTGGCAGGAGGGTCTCAAGTTTGAGCCCAGCCTGGGAAACTTAGCAAGACCCTGCCTTAAAATGTAAAATAAAAAGGGCTGGGGATATAGCTCAGGGCCAAGGTCCTGGGCTTGATGCCCAGTATTGTTAAAAAAAAAAACAAAACCCCAGCAATAATCATGTCATTAAAAAAAAGAATAATACAGAATATCTTTGATTCTGTAAAGCTATTATACAGACTGGGAATATTACACCTACATTCAGGCTCCAGCTGGCCTTGAACTCCCAGCTTCAAGGGACCCTCCTGCCTCAGCCTCCCAAGTCACCAGGACTACACATGATCCGTGCCCCGTCCAGACTCTCGGCCGGAACCTCTCCGTTCAGCCTCCCGGCTGGCCCTTCCCGCTGACTCAGGGGCTCCGGGCCGCAGGGGTCTGAGTCACAGGTCGCCCCGCACAGTCCCCTGTTCCCAGGGCAGAGCACAGAAAGGAGAAGCGACACCGCCGGGATCACAGGGCAGTGAGTGGTGCGGCGGGGTCCGTGGCAGGACCTCCTCCGGGCTTTGCTGCTCTCCTCGCCAGCACTGGGGGTCGACATTCAGTTGGCGCCTTCTCTCTCCTTTCCCACCGAGAGGCGAGGGCTTTGGTCCGTTCCCGCCCGCAGGTGCTGCCTCGCTACAGGCGCAGAAGCAGCGGGGTCAGCACTCGGGGAGGCTGAGGCGGGAGGATCGCTGGGAGTTCAAGGCCAGCCTGGGCTACACAGGGAGATCCTGTCTCAAAAACAAACCAAAGAGAAGAGAAAGACAAAGGAAAAAGGAAGAAAGGAAAGAGGATCTGCGAAGGAGAGATGCAGTCAGCAGCGGTGAATCACGGAGGAGGACTCAGGAGATGCCCAGGGAAGGGCGCCCCCTAGCGGTGCGCTGCGCGTCGCCTCCGTCCTTTCCTGTTGCTACAACAACATGGCCACATTCTGCCACGGGCACGGTTACCCCGTTAACCCACAGTTGCTCCATAGCACAGCTAAATTATTTTAGCTTCACGGCACGGCTCAGTTACTGTTTTGTTAAAAATAGCCGTCTGCCTGCCAATTGGCTCTCACCCTGACAAGGAGACGGCCCCCCACCGTCCCCTTCAGTTTTCTTTTTTTTGAGACAGGGTCTCACTAGGTAGCTGAGACTGACCTGGAACTCACTGTGTAGCCCCAGGCTGGTCTCGAACTCACAGCGATCCTCCTGCCTCAGCCTCCCGAGTGCTGGGATGACAGGCGTGCGCCACCAGGCCGGCCTCCCCCCAACCCCGCTCTCAGCTCTGGGGTTGCTTACCCGGGACCGGGGACCCCGCGGGGTCGCAGCAGAGCTTTGCCCTGTCCACTGCTTCCCCCGTGTGGCCATGCCCCGAACTGCAGCCACCCCCTGTGCCCCGGCTTATTCCTGGGAACAGACCCGCGATCCTCGCAGCTCCTCCGGTGCAAGCCTTGCTAGGGTGCGGAGGATTCCACCCCACCCCAGAGAAACCCCCAGAGGCGTGGGGACTGAAATTGCAAGTTCATCTGCTCCGGAGGGATCCTCAGAGCAGTGTCCCGCTTATGGGCACTTTGCAGACCAGTAAGAACATTTTATTACTATTTTTAAGACAGGGTCTCACTACGTAGTTCAGGGCGGCCTTGAACTAGAGGGGATCCTCCTGCCTCAGCCTCCCAAGACAAGGGGGAACATTTTAGGAAGGTACAAAAATAAATAACATCCTAGGCAAAGGGGAGGGCATATATACATCACAGTCATATCCGGACACCAGATGCTATGCCCCACACCCCTTCACTGTGCGTCCAAACTGAGGCCTAGAGTCATGGCTCAAGGCCCAAGCCCAGTTCTGTTCCTGAACTCCACTCTTCCTCTCATATGTGGTGCCCACCCCAGTGTCCTCCAGCTTCTACATCAATTCCTAGTTATTCACCCCTGTCCCCAAAGGACCTTGCCACATCTCTCCCTTGCTCTCACACCTCCCATGGCTCCCCAGTGCCATCAAGAATCAAGAGCAACTCCAAGATCTTCAGTTTGGCTCCTGAGACTTTGAAAAACTTGGTCCTCCCTGACTCATTTTATCATAAGCACGAACAACTACAGAAACAACAAAAAAGCAATAAAATCGGGTGCAGTGGGGCAGTCTGTCACCCCAGATATTCAAGAGGCTGAGGCAGAACAATCTCAAGTTCATGTCCACTGTAGGCAAGTTAATGAGACCCAATCTCATTAAAAAACATTCTTGCCAGGGATTTAGTTCAGTGGTGCCACTGCCTGCCTCACAAGTGGAAGGTCCCAAGTTAGATCCCTGGTGCCAAAAAACAAAACAAACAAACAAACGTTCTTTTTTTTTTTTTTGAAGAGTAGGAAAAATTTATTGAGAGAAAGATAGCTTCTGTCTAAGAGAGACAGAAGGGGGACCAGAGAGTGGGTTCCAGAAAATATTCTTGCCGGGCGTGGTGGTGCATGCCTGTGATCCCAGCAGTCGGGAGGCTGAGGCAGGAGGATCGCTGTGAGTTAGAGACCAGCCTGAGCTACATAGTGAGTTCCAGGTCAGTCTCAACTATGTAGTGAGACCCTGTCTCAAAAAACAAAATTCTTAATGGGCTGTATCTCTGTAGTATAGTGCTGACATAGTACCTCTGAGGTCCTGAGTTCAATTCCCAATATTGAAAAAAAAAAAAAAAAAACCCAAACAGCACACACCTGTCATCCTGCATTAGGAGGCCGAGGCAGAAAGATTGTTTCGAGTTCAAGGCCAGCCTGGGCTACATAGTGAGTTCAAGGCCAGCTTGGACTACACAGTGAGACCCCTGACTCAAAAACAAAACAAAACAAAATACGCGCGCGCGCCCACACACACACACACACACACACACACACACACACACACTCACACGCTAAGCCCTTGAGTCCTTTTCACAAAGGGAAGGCAGCTCGCGCCCTCTTGTGGTGAGAACCCAGGTGATGAGTTGATCCGTTTAGAATATTTTCTGCGTGCCTTCAGCAAGAAGGTAGCGTGATGGGCTGGGAGAACGGAAAACAAAACAAAAACAAAAAACAAAGGGCATGTGGTCCCACTCAAAATCACAGTCCATTGTGCAAAGCTTCAACTAAGGGCCAGTTAGACCCCTTAAAAGGGAAAGCTAGCCAGGCACGGTGGCACACCCCTGCAATTCCAGCTAATCTGGAGGCTGAGGCAGGAGGATCCCCAGCCTGGGCAATGTAGCAACAGTGTCTCAAAACCAAACTATACCGAACACAAACAAAACAAATCATTCTCAACAACAACAAAAAAGGGTAGAGGATGAAGCTTAGTTGTAGAGAATCTCCGTGTTTAATCCCTAGTACTGCAAAATCAAAAACAAAAAAAACCCCAAAACAATCCAAAACAAAACAAAACAAAAACCCCAAAACAAACAAACAAAAAGCTCCAGTGGTAGCGACTCGCTGCAGTCAGCTGTTTGTGGACACTGAAAGCTCTTAAAGGGTTCACCCTCATTGTAAATGTAGAAATAAAATACCCATGGGATTACAGGCATGTGCTACCACACCCCGCTAGTAATATGTAGTTATATTTGTTTTTTTTTTCCCCAAAGGAATAATTATTTGCCAGTTTTTTGGTTTTTTTGAGACAGGGTCTCATTATGTAGTTGAGACTGACCTGGAACTCACTATGTAGCCCAGGCTGGTCTCGAACTCACAGCGATCCTCCTGCCTCAGCCTCCCGAGTGCTGGGATCACAGGCGTGCACCACCATGCCCAGCTATTTGCCAGTTTTTTAAATCTAATAAACTTGTAGACTTTTCCTTTACTTTTATACATACACGCAAGAGCAAAACAGGTCTTTCACCGTTTTGATGGCCACAATGGCCTGACGATCTCCGTCTCATTTACGGTATTACCTGGTGTTGGGTAGGTGAACGACACGAGGATCCTGGAGGAGGCCCACGCCGAACCTTCAAAGGGGACGCAGGGCGGTCCCGTGTGCTTCCGCTTCCGGGGCAGCCACCCTGCACTTCCAAGAGGCGAGAAGCCGCTGTGCAGCCCTGGAAAGCAGGAGGCCCCCGTTCAGATGGGTTGGGAAGGGGTCTGCCCTTTCTGGAGCTGTGACCCTGGTTACCTCTGTTTTCTGCACATACGCAACCCCCCACCCCCCAACACTGGGATGGAACTCAGGACCTTCACACTGAGCTGCATCCTAGCCCTTTTCTGCTTTACTTTGAGACAGGGTCTCGCTAAGTCGCCCAGGCTGGGCTTGAATTTGCGATCCTCTTGCCTCAGCCTCCCGGAGTTGTTGGGATGACGGGCACGATCCCCCACTCCCAACCTCAATTGGAGTTTCTTTGGAGCGGAACCTCATCGTGACTCCAAGTGAGACTGCCCCTCCGGTGGATATCAAGGTGCTGGAGGGAGAAGCGTTTCCCACTGTGAGGACGGGACAGGGCGAGCTCCCAGAGTGAAATCCTTGGGTGTCTCTGCCTCAGCACCAGGGACAGAGGCTCTGTGGGCTCCGTTACAGCCGCCCGAGCCTGGTCCCCAAGAAGAGACGGTGTGCACCCAATGAAGGTGGACTTTCCTGATGGACTATAGATGAAGCGCCTGCTTCCATCAACCGGTTGGAAAGTTTGCTTTTCTCCCTTTTAGATTTCTTTATAGAATATTGTGCCAGGGGTGGTGGCGCGCTCCAGTAATCCCAGCACTTGGGATGCTGAGGCAGGAGGATCTCCAAGGGTTCAAGGCCAGCCTCGTACGAAATCCCTAACCCTGCAGGACCCCGAGTCCTTTCTCCTGCCTCCGTCTGGCCTGGCCGCGGCTCCTCCCCTGCCCTGGGGCCGAGCGATTGGTTCACTGGACCCTGAACATGGAATTCCCTGTGCCCCGGCATCCGTCCAAGAAAATCAGGTAGGATCCATAGTTACAGGAAGACGCCAGTGTCTGCTCCGGAAAACCAAGAGTCAGTGCTGAGTGCAAATACTGCCTACGTGGGGGGCACGGCACGGGGGCGGAGGGGACGCCTAGTTCCAGAAAGACTCTGACCCAGAACCTGTTAGTGGCAGGTTTGTTCGACCTCCTGTTAGTTGCTGCTCACGTCATTCAAGGCCTGGTGGGCGGAGCCTCGTAGTATCCAATCAGGGGCTCAGAGGCGGGGCCTGTAAACCATCCAATCAGGCGGCTCTCCAGCGTTCTCGCGGGATCGTAGTTTCTCGCTCCTTCCTTCCCCGCGGGTCCGGCCTCTGCGCGGCCGGCCGAGGGCGGGTCGGGCTTCCCTTCGTGGCCCGGTGACCTCCTGGGGCGGCAGGAGCGCTGGGGAGGACGCAGACACCGGGAACCGGGAAATGGTGAGTGGCGACGCAGTGCCTGGCTGGAGTCGGCCGGAAGTGG